GCCAGTGATTATGACACGATGTTTTTTCCTATGAAGTGGAACTCTTTAACTTTCTTTAAAGAGTAATACGCGATTATCTGTCGCGTATCGACTTTAAATTTTTTCTGTGTAGAAGTCGGTGCACTACTTGCGAACCTACACACGATGAAGAAAATTATCATTCCACTATTAACAAGTATGACTGTAGTAAAATCGTGTTTAAGTCCTAGCTTAAAATATTAATTTTGAACCATTTCATAATTAAAGTATCTATTCGGTTTTATTACTGGCATAGAGCTTTGATGTACATTTAGAATGTGACTTTAGGAGCATGAGGTGGACAAGATTTTGGGAATACATGGTCCTGCGGACGTAGCCAAAATCGGCATTGCCAAGTATAATGACGAATGTCGTCGAATTGTGATGCGTTATTCGAAAGAATGGAAGGTCGGTAGGCGCTGGTTATGATGCATGTTTATTATTCGCTGTTGCAGGAGATCGTAAATAGACTTGGTCGATGGATCGATTTTGAGAATGACTACAAAACGCTCTACCCCTGGTTCATGGAGTCGGTCTGGTGGGTATTCAAACAGCTATTTGACAAAGGGCTTGTTTACCGCGGTTGCAAGGTAATGCCGTTTTCAACTGCTTGCTGCACGCCGTTGTCAAACTTCGAGGCCGGTCAAAACTACAAGGACGTTGCCGACCCCTCTGGTACGTTTCTTTTTGCATTTTTTTTCTGTGATTCTATGAATTTTTTTCACACCTTCGTGTACTTTCAGTCATCGTGTCGTTTCCTTTGCTGAAAGATGACCAAGACACCGCGTTACTGGCGTGGACCACTACTCCGTGGACTTTGCCTAGCAACTTAGCTATCTGTGTCCATCCGGAACTTACCTATGTCAAGATTTTTGACAATGTTCGAGCAAAAAACTTCATTCTAATGGAGGCTCGTTTGGAGGCTCTGTACAGATCCCCTGACGAATATAAAGTCATCGAACGCTTTCCAGGCAAAATCCTGAACGGGAAGGAGTACTTGCCACTGTTTCCCTACTTCGAGTATATGAAGAAAAAGCGCAACGCATTCCGTGTCGTTTGCGACTCTTACGTCACTACCGAAAGCGGCACCGGCATCGTTCATCAAGCTCCTTACTTTGGCGAGGTGATTTATGTTGTTTTATTAAGTTATTTGGATATGCATGAATAATTGAGTCCCAGTTCGAAATGC